TAAAAAAGTTTTATTAGTAATACATTTTTAATTTACTATATAAAAATCTATTATACCATCTAGATCATATAAAAAATGATCTATGTACACCCTACCCTTAAACTCTAATTAGATATATATTATGTGAGCAAAACTCAAAATATTAATATTTATATCTTTATTATAAGTCTTTAATATGCTTTAGACAATTAAGTAAAAATTATATTTTTTATCTTTTTAGTACATTTTAGTTGCTTCTTTTTAATATTTAATATTTTTTTTTTTAAATATTAGAATGAGTACTTGTGACTCAGGATCTTATTGATAATATATTTGGCTAATGATTGCTTTACAATCACAGGGGGCAACTATGGAGAGAGTGTACAACTAGCTACTTATACAACTTTAGTCATTGTCTAATTTAAGTAGTCTGCTCGAAGGTTCTACACTAGCTGCCATACCTGGAACTCACTTGTAGGTTCCCTATTTAACCACTCTGTTTCTGTATCTACCTATCTACCTCTGCCTACCAACAACCCTAGCCGATGTCAGTAAAAATATGTCATGACTACTAAGGCTTTAAAGCAGTTTTTTGGAACCTTTAACCTTGTACCAAACCTTTCAGAATCTTCTGTATCTTATTCTTACAGCTGACCTGATATTGCTATGGCCAAGACCAACACTGGCAGTCAGGATGTATCATTAAACCACTATGCCCTTGTAGAATTCATCCAACCCTGGTACTTACTTCACAACATATCTTTACTACTTTGGTATTCAATTCAAGTTCTACCAAGCTACCATTCTAGATAGCCTGGAAAGGTAGAACAAGACCGTACCTCTGGTTTACATGTTTGCTGACATATACCTTTTTCTTCCAGAATTCAGAAATTCTGGCAGCCTGGTTGGTTCATTTAGTCCCTCCTTAAAGACTGACACATTGCCCAATTTTACAAGTTCTAGCTTCGTTTCATAAGTCTAGTCTTTACAGTAGCACTATCGAAAGCTCGGGTTACCTCTCTACTCAGGTCTTCCAAGTGGGCTTCCATCTTTCTTCTATTGGTTTCTATGATTTACTGGCTATGAGAACTTATTGTAGGTTTGCACTGCCCGGTACCGGTTTGCATTTCTTCATATAACCACAGACCTTGTTCCAAAGAACAATATTATGTGACTATTATACAAATGCCATGTGACCTGCCAGTCATGCTAGTGCAATATAGATTACAAGTATCTTATCCCAACCAATTGTGAGAGACAATTAACTGTAACACAGAGAAGATTTTCAAATTTTCTGTCAACACTGAGATTTGAACTCTGGACCTGCCATTTGAGGGTTGACAATCTAACCACTTCACTAGGTCACCACACCCCTTTAATAATATTTAACATTTATATATAATCTTATAATAATTAATAATAAAATATTTGCTTTTACATGGCCTCATCATTAATATTAAAAATATATATATATATTTGCTTCTAAGTAGAGTCTTTTAGATTACTAATTATTTCCTAATTATTATTAAATAATTAATATTAACTCTCTTATGCATACTAAATTGTTTTAATTTATAAAACAAAAATGTATCCTATTACTAATTTCTGGATTATTAAACTTTTTTTTAGATTATATTATAGAATATAACATGTAATTTTAGAATTTATATATTATATTTTTTAATAATTCATTTTATAACAAACAATTTGTTCAAAGTCACCTATTATATGCAGTATATATGTAACTATACATTTAACAAATAACTAATTAAGAGTGTGATGACTTAGTGAAGTGGATAAGTTGTTATTCTCTAAGTGGTATATTGTATAAGTTTAAAACTTACCAATAATAAAATTTGAATAATTACCTATCTAATATATAGATGGTATTATGATGATAACATTCTAATGATTAGTTAGAATAAGATACCTGTAACTATGATTATACTAGCATGACTAACAGGTCTGAGATATCTGTGTAACTTGTTACATAGAGAAATACAAACTGATACTAGATGGTGCAAACCTAAAATAAATCCTTAAACTATATAATTTCATAGAACTAAAAAACCAGAACTTACTTGGAAATTCTAAGTAAAGAGATAATACAGATCTTTAATGGTACTATTGTAAAGACTAAATCTAGAAAATAGATATCAATATGAAAGAATCAGACAAACAAAAACCTCAGGTAAGAGATATTACTAATCAGATTACCAAATTTCAGACTAAAGAAAAAGAATATTAGGCTAAGCTTAATATACCAAAAACAGGTTACAGTTCTTCTAGGCTATCTAATTTAAGAATCTGAGCTCAAAGCAAAGGTATACTAAAAGTACTAAGGATATACTGTAAAATCAATATTAGAGTTTGGATGAACTCTGTAAGAATAACTCTTGTTAGTATTCTAAAAATAAATAGATAGTTAACAACAAGAAACCTCCTATGCCTTACTAGCAGATGATATATTCTAAAATGTATAATGATCTAAAAATTAATATAAAAAAAATAAGTACCATACTGCTCAGACAGTATACTAGTTAGGTATATACAAGAGATTAGTTGGAATTACATTATAACAGGATAGATGATCAGAGGGTTTAAACAGATAATCTCCTAGTAGGTTATAAGTATAATATCTAGTGTAGAACCTTAGGATGGACTACTTAAATAGGCAATCAAAAGTTGCATGTGTGACTAATTGTACTCTTATCTCTGTAAAAATAATATAATAACTAACCTAATAAAAATCAATAAAGTATCACCACAAAGTATGACCTTTAACAAAAAAAAACCAAAAAAAAAAAAACAAATGACCAATTAAAGTTGATGCACGCTACGCTGTGATTGGCTAGTGATAGGTTTTAGTCACATGATCTTAAATGGGCATGCCAAATTTTTAACCCGTGCCCCGAACCCTAGCTGAAAGACCAAGCAGAAATTCATCATGCAAATCAATTGCCCAGATAAATTAACAAGCATCATCTTTAGCTTCGGAAGAGATGCTAGAAAGCTAACCCTAAAAATAATCTCTAATAATCTCTAAGAAGGGTTGGCTTAACAATGACGTTTTGAACTAGATAAAAAAAAAACCTTTTTAGTAGTTTTTGTCAAAGTAATATAATAATTCGATATCGTAATAAAGCTATGCAATTTGATTGATCAGTAATCAACAAAAATTGACCAGTCAGACGAATTTCTGCCTATACAAATACGGCATACAGCACTTATATCGATATGCATACGACATATGGCACTTATATGACATACGGCACTTCTACTTATGTGACAAATGTGCCGTATTGCCGTGGTAGTGTGCCGAGGGTAGCTACCCCTCAAGATACTAAATGTTTACGTCTCTAATTATGACCTGTCAAGATTTTGGATGTCGGGTTTTGTGGTAGAACCGCCTGCTATCTGCTATACAGTACTGAGTAGCTTATTACCATCAAACATTTGCCGGTGCATAATGGCATGTTCGGATATTCGATTCAGTGAATCGATTTGTATCTCGATATTCGGATATTTACCTGAATGTCCGGATAATTCATTCATTGGATCAGGCCTCTATATAAATCAACATTGAGTAAAAACATTTTAGTAAATTTTGGCCAGAATTATGCTAATTCCAAGTCATTTTGGTCAGAATTAAGGTGGCCAAATTTTAATTTTAATTTTATTAATAAAATTGGTACTAATATATTAATTTACTAAAAGAGATTTGGCTTATGATTATTTTGATTTTTAATTTATAAGCTTTTAAAGATCATGTATTATAGTCGTTGATTTAAGGATTCTTGGACTGTACAACCACATAAAACATGTAGGTTCGTATATAATGGTATGACAATTGTATCGATTGTTAGAATGTGCGATTAATGTTCATATATCGATATATGTACTGTACGTACATATCTTCAAAGCCACTTTTAAAGAATTCAATTCACACGTTCCGTTTCACGATCAAAATTTATAAGGAATAATGTGATACATGAATCAATTCATCTTTTTGTAATTCGTTACCTATTATCGCTATTCTTATGAGTACATGCATGTCTTGAAGGCTTTTTGTTTTTGTTTATAAACGGAGGCTTTGCGGTGATGTCATCCATAAAATTTATTTTTTAAATGCATGAAAGGAAACTTGTTTCATTTATGTCTAACCTGTTTAACGAAAGCTACATCAATGCTAGTACTTTCGTAGAATTCTATTACGCGAATGTTAAATGTTTTCAGCCGGATTCGTTGTTCTTTGAAACATTCTTATTTTAATAAACACGTAACGGCGGTTGGAGGTTGTATTATACCATTAAGAGGAAAAAATAGCATGAATTTACGCGATTTATTAAATATTTGTTATCTTTATCACTTACGCTAAATAGGTAGAGACCAAGCCACAAAAGAAGACAGAATTAATGATCAAAAAAATATTCTATCTTTTATTCATATAACAAAGTTCTGCTTAATAAGAACTTACATGGAAATGATTTGATGTACGCGTGAGATTCAACAAGCAAATATACATATTTCTTTTGTAAACAAATTTTCTACAAATGTTGTAATACCTGAGATAATACAAAGGAATTTGAAATATAATGTGCATTTCATGAAACTTCGATCCGAAATAATTGTTAAAGGACTATAAAAATCTACAATTTGCATTTTTCACAACATACAAAACTTGACGAACAATTTGAAAATTCGCTCTCAATTCTTGAAAAAAAAGCAAATTCTTATCTAAAATGTTATTCCTCCATTTAATCACCCTAGCTTCTATAATCTTAGCAACAACTGTTTGGGCGCTTTCACCTGAAGATAAACAACAATTGATTGGAGGATATGAAGTTGATTTCATTCCGAAGAACGAATGCTATTCTTACAATAGACCGAAAATGGCTGTAAGTCTTTTTTTTCCTCTTAACCTCTGATTATGTCTGTATTTAACACGTTTTTATCTCTTGCTTAAAAAAAGGATCCATTTCTAACTAACGTGAGTTGGAAGATTGGAAAAGAATCCACATTTACAATAGATCATCACAGCTCGGATATAAATACTATTTTCTTACTTCCGTATATACTTTTTAGTAAAAAGTGATTCTATCAAAGTTTTGATATGTACAGTACATTACATTATTGTATATAATATTTCTGCATTTGCTTTTTATATGTAGTTATTTTATATCTTAAATCAAATTTATTATTCTATCATTTGCATTTATATTTATTCATTTATATTTATTCATTTATTATGTTCAATAAAATAAAAAAAACTGCGTAAAAATATTTTTCAATATTTCATACATCACGCGACTTACCATTTGAGGATTATGCAAGCTAATTTCACCAATTATTGAAATGTGTATATTCTTAAACTAGGGTACTGGAAGAAATTTCCAGTTTAGGCGTATCGTGACAATTTTTTTTGCCCTTAACCCGTAGATATGCTCTCGAATTGTGACAATTTTTTCGAAACCGGTTAAAAATCCAGTTTTTAATAATACGCATAAAGACCATAATTGAGGAAAAATCGTCACATAATTTTATTGTTTTCAATATCTATAATAACATCATGGATTGTCGAGTGTTAGCAGAAGCGACGTTTTCGCTCGTAAGCATATAACCCAGGGTATTATTAATTAATCCCTGTGATATTGATGTAGTTATGGGGAACTAATTGATTCATTTCATTGATACATGTATTACAACCGAGGAATAAAAAAAAAAACTACAGTCAGACCCTCTATAATCACTCCCTTCGGGATAAAGTTTTTGAGCTTATAAAAAGATTTTTATTAAGATGCGCTTATAAAGAGGTTTTTTTTTAATGTTTTTAAATAGATATGCTTATAAAGAGGTTTTTTGTACGATGTGCTTATAACAAGTGTGACTATAGAGAGGTCCGACTGTGCTTGGTTCCAAAATTCAATGAATGTTAATGTGTCGAATACATTATCGTGCATTGTATTTGATGACGCCATCAACCACCATAGCATCAACCCCGTATTTTTCTTGGATCAGAATGTTATGAGGATCATTATTTGCTGATCCAAACGTAGTTAATATTAATCCAGCTTGCTTAACATTAGTTATTAATGATGGAACATGGACCTAAATAAAATCGTTGAGAAAATATTTGGGTCTAAATATTTTTATAAAAAATACGTGTTACCAATACATGCACTTACCAATAACGTGGCCTCAAAAATGACACCCAGAAGATTATTCATCTTTGCAAATTTTACTGCTTCTTTGATTGATGTACAGCGCTTGTCTTGCTCAATTTCTTCTTCGTATGTCGCGCAATCCTCTTGCTCTTTACGCTTTCTACCATGATTATTGTCGAACCCACAATGTGAGTTGAAAAACACCGCGTCTTTTTTTTTTGTAATAATAACAGTATATATATAAATATATATCATAATTTATGTTCAAAATAACATTCTCTTTGAACTTACAGTTTGGCTGTTTCCAATTTAAAGCAGTACAAATCGCTGGATTAAATGATGAAAACATTACGGGTCGGTTAGAAGGTGGTTTACCACTTCCGTTACTAGTCGTGTGACTTTGCGCATAATCGTATATGGTTTGAAGAATTGTATCTACGTAAGTGTTGATATCAGAAATATCAGAGAACCAATATCGTGACATTTCAAACACGGTAGGATATTTTATCTCGAGATTGACTCCAATAGATGGTGGCAATTTCTAAGCAAGACAAAATAAATAAATTATAAATAAATTATTAATAAATAAAATAAATAAATAAACATAATAAAAATAAATAAACATTAATTTTTATTGTTCTAACCTTCAAGACTTCCTCTAATGAAAGATGTGATTGGTGAATTTTTTTTTGTAATTCCGCAAGGTTGGCTGTATTATTAAAATCTAGCTCCTCTTGTGACCTAATTTTTAATGACTTAAATTGTTTAACCGTAACGTCAGACACGCTCAGATCGAATCCATCTATTGGCAACATCCATTCTGGATATACAACGGCAACCATATCTCTAGTCACTTGTACTACGACCTGGATATATTCACCCGAAAGTGATGAAGCAGTAATGAATGATGATATATTTCTATTATTATTAACTCCTCCAGTATTCATTGAAGGTTGATCACTAACGGATCCAGGGAGTGATACTGTGTTGGTAGATTTCCAATATGTTTCTACTTGTCCTCCAATTTCAAGTTGTACACCTTGAAATGGTTTCACAACTGCAAATTCAAATGATAATTCTCCAACGACTTTAAGATGTGTGTCGAATAAAGGACAAATGCATTTTCCACCCGTCCCTTCGGTAACTAAACTATTTCTTCTTTCACGACCGTTGGTAAAATTAAATACGTGTGGTAATGCAACTCCTTTACCAATAACTTTTGATCCGAAAGTAGGAAAGATATCAAACTCCAGTGAAAATTTGTTAAGGGTATCTGTTTGAAAAGAGAAAACTTCTCTATCATCTCCCAATGGTAATATTATGTTATGAGGAATTATTCCTGTGTCAGGTTTGGAGGACATAATAAGTTTCAATGATGAAATTTGACTGTTTCCATATAGATGTACGGGAGGCCTTTGAGGTTTAGTTGATAGATGCCCAAGTGTTAATTGAATATGATATTTTTTATCCAGGTAATTATGTCCATAGATACGAAGAGGTATAATCGGAGGTGGTAGTGACAACGAAGGTATTGAGTCTAGACTAGTTTCCATATTATTATCCATATCAATATCCCCTTCTACGTGACCGTTTGTGATTATTAAAGTTGGTTGCTCATCTTTCATCTCAACGCGTCCACCGGCTTCACGTAATTTATTAATACACTCTATGTGGCCTTCCCACGCTGCATAATATATAGGTGAATGACCTAATTCGTCTGATATATCAACTTTACAATTTGCTTGAATTAAAATGTCGACGCATTCTATGTTTCCTTCGCTTGCAGCATAAAAAATAGGTGTCCATCCTTTATATTTATCGGGTGTCTCCAATAAAGCGCCTCCTTGTTCTGTCAGAATTTTTAGCAATTTATGATGTCCTTCACGGGCTGCTAAATGTAAGGGGGAAAGGCCCTCCGCATCTAATATAATCTGTGCACCTTTTTCCAATAGTAACATGGCAACGTTTTCGTGACCATATTCACATGCCAAAGACAAGGGTATGCGACTATGACCATCCTCCCCTTGTGGTTCTATTCGAGCTCCCACTTCAAGTAAAATTTCTACACATTTTGTATGACCATTCGTGACAGCATAAATTAAGGGACTAAAACCATCATGATCTAAACTTTCACAGTCTGCTTTCTGTGATAAAAGATAGGTAGCAGCGTCACTATATCCGTACATACAAACGTAATGTAGAGGTCTACGACTATAAACATCGGAACAATCTACTTTAGCACCTTTATCAACACAAAGCTTAATGAGCGGTAATCGCCCAACAATTGCAGCTTCATGTAAACAAGTTCGATCACTAATATCGTCAAAATACTTAAAATTAACCATATTAGTGTTTACCAAACATTGTATGGAATCAATTGAAGAACTCTTTTCCGAACACACTCGCCAAAATACTCGTGACAAAATATCTTTGTCTTCTTCAATTTGATGATGTAGAATTCTTCCTAAAATTTCCTGGACAGTTGATGTAGCATCTTTCATTATTGCCATAAAAAGCTCTGTTTCAAGATCATCCATCACATCAGGTTCAGCAGATAATTCTCCAACAGACAATCGACGCCCAGGGGAAGTCGATCGAGATGACGGAGTAGTGGTCAAACCTTGTGAGTGATTTTGTAGCTCCAGTAAAATATTATCGACGTTATCCACCAAGTAAGACATAAATTCTCTATTGAAGCATGGTTGAATTTCAACCTGACGTGCAAGATAAAGTTCTTTTGTGCTGGATTTAGATCGTTTATCCCATTTTTTTAGTATTTTTCTGAAACCGGTACCATTTATCTCTACAAATTGCTAAAAGATAAATAGGATAATTATAAATAATTTGTGTGTAAATTGAAAGATTTGAAATAATAGAACGAGAAACCTATAAACAAAAAAAAAAAAAAAAATTCTCGCGGAATTTTATGTAACATACAACAAAATTTTACGTAATATTATTGGAACTACATTTATTAAGATCTAATTTAAATTTGTTTGAATTCCGAATATATAAATAACGTAAAATGTGTCTGGAATTATATGCAGAATTATCAGGAGTGTGTACGCAGAAAAAAAAGGAAAAGAAAAAGAAAAAGAAAAAAATACCATAAATAATTCCATACACATTTATTCGGAATTCATTAGAACTTCCATGCGGAAAACACGGGAAAATACGGAGAAATGTTTTTTTTTTTTTTTTTTAAGATGATGAAATTACCTGTAACTTGTTTAAATCTTGTTGAAATTGCTGAAATGCTTCTGTCAAAGTTAGCAAGGATGTAGAATTAGATGATAATTTTCTTTCGCCGCCTAATAAAATTCTTTTTTTGTCGAGTAAGGTTCGTAATCTAACATTGAATTCCTTTTCTTTTTGCACGTAGAAGGAGTTGATCTAGAAGAAAAAAAGATTATTGTAAATTATTAACAATTAATTATAAAATGAATGACATTGAAAAATCGAATACCTTTTCTAATTCACGTTCAAGTTTAAAAAAGAAAGCAGCTTTTTGCTGTTGTAAATGGTCGGCAGCTTGTGGAAGATCATTATTTACATGAGCTCGAGTACCAAGAGTAATAGTGATTGCAGGAGTTGGTGGTAAGGATCGTTCGTTATTTTTGTAAGCACTGGGTAAGCTATTTATGATTTTTTTCAATGCTTTATAATTAATATAATGAGCAGCCCATTCTGTAGTTTGTTGGGTGAGAAGCTGCTTTCCGAACTGTCCGAATCATGATTAAATCGAAATTCTCCAATAAATTTCAATAATTTTGTATAAAGAATAATTTTGGACTATATTATTTGTACTATACAAGAGAAATGACTCTTTACCTTCATGATTTTATAAATGAAAGATCAAATATACCAAGCACAGAAATGCAAAGAACTTGTATGCAAATTACACCGGGAAGATAAATAAAATAAGCCGCATAATTTACAAACATTTAATTAGCATCTATTTCATAGTAATATCGGATTTACGAGTGGTGCTACGTTATACTTGTTATACTTGTTATACTTCGTTATTTCTATTTTCAAATGTTCTTTCATTTGTCAAAGGCGCAACTTTGCATCCAATCATTGTGCCATGTGCAAATTATGTTTTAGAATTATACGTTGAACGCTTCATTTCGTCATACGGTTTCATTACTTCGGGATCACCTGAACTTTCCTAAATTTGGAACATTCTAATCGTGATCCAGGGGTCCTATGACCTGTTCGTTGCGAGCAATTAAAAAAATGTACATATAAACATCGGTTTGACATTATTGTCATATGAGACGTAGAAAAGCAGACAGTTACGTACGTACTTAGCACCTGAAATATATATAAATTATATATATATAATATATCCATATATATTTTTCTTTTTTACGAATATATACTGTATATGTATATTGAAAATTATTCTAGTGTTAATGTACAATAAATAAATTCAAAATGGTTAAACTTTCAAGGATCTAAAAGCAACAGTAATGTAAAAACAACTTGATATATGAATCCCAACAGTTTCAAACTCAAACGTAAAAAAGCACTATTTAAGCATCATAGAAACTATCACTATTGTGTGAAGATACATACGTATAATTGCTTGAAATCCAAACTTAATAAATATTAGGTTTAAAACAATTAATGTTAAGCATCGAATTTTCAATCATTGTGATGTAATTATGACAACCACTTGAACTTCTACTTTTTTACATCTCAAAGTTTTGAAACTTATATTATATAAATTATAAAAATAATATATAAAACTGATAAATTCAATAATTTGTTAACTTCATCTTTAATTATTAAGTCTTATAGTTTTATGGGCGCTGTTACATGTGTATATCAGGCAAAAATGGTACGTTTTTACCCCTTTATTATTTTACATTGCAAAATAATATACTGTGTGTTACAAAGTTTAATCATTATAATGTTAAATAAACAACTTTTTATACTATATAATGTAAAATTTTAAATATTTTTATAGTTTATTATTTTTTGATAATAATTAGTTTCCACCCGGATGATATTATCCGGTATTATAAAATTTTTATTTAAAATAAATAAATTTAAGGTTAGAGGTTAAGAGTAGCAAGCATATGTAAAATTTAATGCTGAAACTTTTGCTTAGAAGTCAAAGCATGTTTTTTATAAGATTTTAAGTTATTAAAGTTTTTTTTTTGTTCTTTTTTCTTTTTTTTTATTATGTTTTTAATTATACAAGATCTGACACGTCACACTTGATATAACGGACTCTTGATATAATGAAGAGTAAGTAAAATCTTGATATAATGGATCAAGATTCAGATTTATATCATAATAAATATTACTTTGCTAAAATTTGTCAAAACTGAACTTGCTAAAAAATTGCCAATTTTTTACCTAATTTATTGCTAACAATATGCATTTTAACGGTGATGATAATGAACTTTTAAACTAGATAATTTTTGCTAAAATTGGTTAGTTTAAACAATTTAATACCTATTTAATTTGAAATAGAATTTGATTTATTGGCAATATAAATATATTTTATTTGTACTTTATTTGTAATTTAAATGTGTTTTATTTGTACTTTATTATAAAAATAGATTACAATTTTGCAATTCTGCTTTACTATCTAACTTTTATATTTTATACCCATAACACGAGTACTTTGAGTCCTTGATCTTTCCTTAACTATCAAGAGTTTGTTAGAAAATTAGAATTCTTAATTATGTACAATATCAAAAACTTTGATCTACAATAAAAAGCATTTGAATCTCGTGTTTTTTATTGAAGTAAAGGCTTCAATAGTAATAGTATAAAATCCGGTCACAAATACTACCTTATTATTTAAACAGAATACAGTCTATAATAATCTCACAGGCAAAGATGCATTAAATTATGAATGTTCAATTTCGGCACGTAGATGCAGTGCATATTTAAATTCGTAAACTTCAATATCAATATTGATCCAACAATGAATTTGTTTCAAATTTAAGACCTTTGATATATAAATAACAAATTAAATTCCAATAAAATGCTTGTTCTAATGAAAGGTTCTATTAGATAATATAATATAATTAATGGTTGTACACAGCTATAAATTGGTATTACATGCCTGCTTGAAATATGACTTAACTAGATAATTTGAATTTATTCACAAATCCAAATAGATATCTGGAACAAATATTATTTTCGTAAGTGTAGATCTTATAACATAAAATAATTTGGGAGTAGATTGAATTGATAGCTTATAAAACATACTTTTTAACTCACTATTAGCATGTGAAAAACAAAGACTTCCATAGATAAAATTTTACGTATCTACTTTTTAGATTTTTTGTTTTTTTTGTAAATTTAAGTAAATTATTAATTTGTTAATAACAATAACATTAAATTTAAAAATTACAATATCTTCATAGTCTTTTAATATCATTGTAACATTTTTCAGTCCTTAAGTTGAATATAAAACTATTGTTAGAGCTGCAATATAGTAACTATTTCGATAAATTTTTATAAAATGAATTAGAATAATATTTATTAAATTAAATTATTTTATTCTATAAGTGGTTACTTATTTTTTATGCCATTACACATTTTTACTTTATAATACATATGTCTTGACTTAATAATTATTTTACCACATTAAAAATTATAAGTAGCATGAATGTTCTAAAATAAATAGAAAAAAATATAAGTAATGTATATATATACGAGAAATAATTATAATACATACCAAAGCTATACAAACGATGAAAAACATAGAAGAGCAAAAAATATCATTGCCCAAGCCTTATATATAAAGTATATATAAAAATTTGAAGGAAATTAAAGCAATTAAAAAAAAATGAAACCATTTGATATCGAAAAAAGAATGTTAATAGATGTTTTACTATGTATCTACAAAGAACTCCAAGAGTATTATCAAAATAAAATAGCTAAAAAATGACCAGTACAACATATCACAAAATAAGGCCACAAAAGTTAAACAAAATGAAACCCGATCAGCGAGTTTAGGATAGTATATTCGTATGAAGCCAAATATTAAGCATGAGATAGTTGAAAAAATGAGAGCAATGATATTCGGAAGGAAACATAAGTTGGATATGGTAGTGTATTGTTCCTCTGTTACTAGAGTGATATAGTTCATTGTTACTAATACCTGGATAGGAATTTTTTAATAGAATATAATTTAAATAAAATTAATTAAATAGAAAAATTTCTAAGAGTATATGGATTTAAATTCTAATGAACAACAGTGCTTTACTAAGAGTATACATCACTCTACTAAATTTTAAAGAAAATTATGATATATTCTGTTCATTTGGAAAAATAAATATACATCATAGTTTTAGAGGTAGGACGAGTAGTGGCAAAATTTTCTATTTAGAACATCTAAAATCATTTTAAAAACAAAAATATTAATCATTCAATTTTGTTGAATAGTTATGCAGACACTTATGCTTTAGTAGTTCAATTTATTTTCAGGTAAAACCTCAATATTACTTCAATTATTGTTGTAGAACAAGCATTGTATCTTCAAATATTGCAAATCATAATATATACAGAATATTAATATATCTCTTGAAAATTACAATTAGATAATCATAATAGCTATTTTACCCTTATTCGATGTTGTAACAAGTTGTTTGAAGCTCTTATTACAATTTTTTTATATATAGAAATTCACTATTGCTTTCTGTTAATTAAAAAACTAATTACATAAATAGAGTTTTACATTAATACGTATATATTTTTTATAAACACGTCAAAAATAAATAAGTGACAATACGTAATATATACTTAAATGGCTGTAAAGAAGAAATCATTCTGGAGATATTCATAATTTGAAGTATCATGTTGTTGTGGAGAACATCTTGCTTTACAATTGTGAACAAATGGAATGTCTAGTGACTGTGATATAATTGATATTGGATGAATTCTTTCTTGAGAATTATTGCAAATATGTTGAAGGCGATATATAGGACATTGTAATAAATAATCACATTTTTTAAGATCTTCTAACCAATTTAAATAAACAAACACATAAGTTTGATTATCATTCCATATATGTTTAATAATTCCTTTGACAACACTGAATTCAGATTGTTGCTTATTAGGTAATGTTGTTTCAATTATTTCACTAACACTAAATTTCACACATTGACAGTTATCATTAGGCTCTGTTATAAAATATGAAACATTTTGATAGTAGCTAATCTTTGTATTTAATAAAGCTTGTTCCAAAGAGAAGTATGAAGAATATGCTCTTATGATATTTTCTAGAAGTCCATTAGTTCTAAGATCTGCTGAAATAAATCCAGCATTTTTGATTTCGCATTTATTCCATTTTGACCCGAGCTTAATTTCAGAACATTCAAAGTTCGAAAAACCATTATTATCAGCAAAATCATCTAGTAATAATATAAGCTTTAATTTTATTAAAAAAAAAATACAAAATCATGTTGCATGATGTTCCTGGATATTCACTATCTTTTAGTTTAAAAAAAAAAGAAAAAAATACATGATTACATTACCTTAATCATACTCTTGTGAAGTATGTATTGAAAAATTACTAACATCGATACACCATCTTAACAATAAATGATGGAACTTTGGCTCAATAAATAGATCTTTAAATATGGTCATGTTGTTAATTTGAACATCTATTATACCATCTACTAAATATCTTAATGTTTGTAAAGTATTGATTTGCCAGAGTAATGTAAGCTCAAGATCATGCTTATTTGTATGTGGTACGATCAATTTAAAAATTTGATGCACCATTTCCTTCATACCAACTGCTGTATTAATACAAGTTGAATATTGGTGTGCATGATCTACTATATGCCAATTAATATGTAGATTCAGAAGATTTTGAAAGTTATCCAGAAATAGCTTAATTTAAATAAATTGAAGTTAAATTTATATACAGTATATATAAAATTAAATCTAAAAATAAAATAAAAATTTTACATTAATTAATGTTCTAAGCTCTTTGTCCAATGCTTTTTGAAGCTAAATATATCCATCCATTCTATTAATAGCTAAAGAAAAGACCTTTTTACTAACTTTTGCAGAAAGTCTCCAAGCCTGAATCAGATAATTTATGACATCAGTTTGGCAAAAAAAACTTAACTGGATTTTTGTTTCTTCTAAAAAATTAGTCTTTATATCATTAACTTTTAAAAAATGTTTCAATATAAAAGGAAATATCATCAAAATCTGTAAAATATCAGACATTATAAATGAATGCCTATGTGAAATTGGATTTGGTAAATGGGACCATTTTGATGGAACATCAAAATGTTTTCAATATTTAATTAAATTTGTTTTTCCTTGTGATGTTAAAATAAGACAAGTGCAATCAAGGAGTCTTGCCACTTTTCCTGCAATAGCGTGATATATATCTTGTGGGGTATATTGATGATGATCATGAAGAATAGGATCCAGTGGGCTTGGTAATAATTGCAACCCATATTGTGAACAAAGTTGTGATCATGCTGTCTTTGTTAATTGTTTACTTATATGTTGAAATTCTTGATTAGTTATTTAATGATAACGACCATTAAAATATATGTCAAATGAAAAGTCTGTTAGTTTATCCTTAGAAGCCTTACAGCTACGATACCCTAAATTTGCATTATAATGTAAAACATCTGCAATATCATTTCTCTGTAGCAAATCTGCTGTAACCATAACTAGCCCACCCGAAACCCAACAGTCAACATCATTTATGTTCATTATAAATCCTTGTTCTAGTTGATGAACTTCATTAATATAACTTTAATAAAATCTTTAAGACTTCCACTGAAAGGCACTAGTCCAATTATGAAATGATTTCTTAGTTGTTTCCTTAATCGTCGTGGCATATTTCCAACCTGTAGATAGACCCCACCCAAAGAATGATAAGTGTTATGAAAGGTTCCAAAATCATCGTAATATAAGTCTAAATAAAATTTAAGAATTGGCAAATTTGTATTTGTTGATAATTTGATGGATATACATTCAGCTGGATGTTGGTAGCGTAAATTTACTGAACGAAGCTTCTATCGACCATTATAATTATACAATATTTGATTTACAAAGAAATCAAATATGGGTAGAGCAAGTTGGTCTTGTAACCAAACATTAAGATGACAAATTAATGACAAAGGATCAATAATAAAAGAATCAGACTCTTCAACCAAGTATCGTTCTTGTGGTGAGTATAAAATATGCCATTTTAAGCTTAGGTATTGTAAAATTTGTTCATAGGAAACTAATCTTTGAATTCAGACTGACATTTTTTTATTAACGATCACAAAGGATCTGATTCGACCAATTTCAATAGTTTTTGAAGCTGATTTGTAGTGAACAAAATCACTACAATTAAATGAGCCTAAAGTAAATAAAAATATATAGAGACTATATCAATCCTTCTTTTTTTTTTGATATAACTAAGACTGAAACATAATTTATATATAAAACGTATAAAAAAAAGAAATTTGTTTTGCTCAAATATGGGAATATAACTGAAGTGACAAATAAGAGATGTAACTCAGTAGATATATGACTGTATAAAATTAATATATACCTTGTTTTATTGTTAAATTTTGTTGGCCAAAAAGAGGAGATTCAGCCCAGAGATCACCTTCCTATAATTCTTCACATGATTCTGAAAAAACGCCAGGCCAAAATATAATTGGGAGCTAAGAGATGGATTTTTTAATATTCATTAGAGATGTTCTATTAAAGAAAAGTAGTAAACTCGAGCAGAATCTTTAATGGTTGATGGGGTATTCTTAATATTTATTGGAACCATGTGACTTTGAATTTTCATTAATGATAGCTGTTCGCACTGCTTTTTAAGACTTTGCAAATTAGTGGGTAGATGATTTATATCGAATTTAGAATGACGTATAATTTGTACTAAATCATGATAGGCCACAGTTGCTATTAAAAAAAAAAGGTAATTTTTAATAGTTATAGAATTAAGTCAAATTACAATACTTACAAGTCATGTATTTAGTGATCTATATAAACATAGCAAGATTTGTAAAATTTTTAAAGGGCTCAAATGGGCATTCATAATTCCAACTCAAATTGGATTTTGTTTCATCAAATAACTTTGGTAAGTCATCTATATTAGTCAAGATTGATTCACTCTCATTATCTGAACTACAATCTATATCTGTATTAAATTCATTTTCACTATATATATCTTCTGAATGGTTATAAGTCAAGTCGTCGAATTCTTGTCTAAGTTTAGAATCTGCATCAAGTTCTGGTTCAGAATTTGTATCAAGTTCTGGTTCAAAATCTGTATCAAGTTCTAAATCTGAATTATATCCACAAGACAGATAATTACTATAAATTTGGTCATTATGATTAGGCTGTGCATTACTATTATTAAGTTGTTGGTCATAATAGTTTAAACTGTTGTTACTTTGCGAATTCATATAGTTCAAGTTATTATTGGTATGATCTAAGTTATTGTAAAATTTAGAAACATTATAATTGTTTAAATAAGTTTTCTTGGCACATATATGTATGTTATATGACTGTTGTGGTATACTTTTCTTAAACCTCTTTCTAAGAGCAAACATGGTTCTGTGTATATAAAAGAGAACCCAGGGTAAAAGGCCAATTATGGAAATAATGACAATGACATGATCTGAAAACAAACCAATACTAGGTTAAATATGCACTTTTCTTATTAATTAGGAGAATTTGAATATATCGATATATAGTAAGATAGACACAAACCCAAAGTTAGGTAAGATAGGCACAAACCAAAGTTTATTTCTGCTGCTATGCTTATTATGTTTCTTTATATGACACTTTTCAATATCGTATTTATTAAAATTGCACGAGAAAATATCTGAATATTTAATTTTTGTTGAATATACGAAGGTAAAAAATAAAAAAGTTTTATTACACAAATTTCTTTATATATGAATAGTGTCATATAAGTGCTGCTAAGGAAAAATATCCCTTCAGACTTTCAATTATGGACACAATCCTTAATAAATTAGATAGATTACGTCCGGTCAAAGTGTAATTGAAAGTCCGAAGGGACATTTTCTCTTGGTAGTACTCATATAAACTTTACAATTTGATCAAAACGTACTATAGCAATATTAAAAAAAATAATTACACAATATTAATCTTAACATGTTATTTGTAACAATTTGTTAATATAATAAACTATATTGAGTATAATTAATCAATGACATCCATGTTACAATTAATTTTTCAACCCAATTTTTTTAATCTCATTATGGTATGTTTTGATTGATGATGCCTTATTTGTAGATAAATGATTCATATGTAATGATTTGAAATTTTTTATCTTTTTCGTTTAGAACTAAAATGCCACCCAAAAGACAATTAACCAGTAAGCATTGTTCACTTGGTTTATTAATTATTGAGTTGGCTCAATTTAATTTCTTTCAATAGGCAAATCAACAAGAAGTACGAAAAAAAAAATCAATACTTCACAAACAGAACTGGAGGTATCTCAACCTTTAAATAATTCGCAAGCATCTAAAAAGCCACGAAAATCACATCAAGCAAAGGAAAAAGGTAATTTTTTGACCATTTCAAATAATTTCTGCTACTTCTAAATAATTTTTTTATAATATATTTTAATATAAAATTAATATATTACAATAAAAATGGATTTTTCTTAAATAATATATTTTAAAAAAGAAAATATAAATCTGAATAATGAGGAAACACCTTTAAGATCTCCAGTTACTTCAAATCAACTGCAAGATTTACAGTCTAAACAATATGCTGAACAGTATTATCAACCAAGTCGCACACCTTCTATAGAACCAGATTATATCAAAGATCAGTAGATTCAAAACCGAAATACACCTTCTCTAGCAGCTACTAAATATCAACATAAAGTGCCATCACAAATAAATATGAGATCTGGTGTTTCAAGAATTCAATCAAATGGATCTGTAATTGACCCTTTTTCTTAATGCCTTAGCAGTTCTAATGAACATATGTCTGATTATGAAGACGAGTCTTTAGAAGATAGATTATCGGAGGATGAAATTTTTTCTTCACTTAACCAGTACAATTCGACCTCTTTAAATATTCAACATGCAAGTTCTTATACAAGAATTCAACAAAATGAAGTTTATATGAAAGTTCCAACTCCATGTAATGAACTTTCTTTTTAAAATGAAACACATCTTCTTCGATGGTTAGAAACATGTAAAGATCTTGTTTTACATGCATTGAATGCAATTTGTTCATCTTCCATTATGTCAAACCAGGTTTGTTTTATCATTATTGCTTAAATTAGTCAAAGTAACACCAACAGTATGACAAAACTGCAATAATGATAATAACGATAATGCACAATTGACTAATAATCATGCATTATTTTCATTATACATAATAACTTATTCAAGAGATAAATTTATATAATAAATATAATATCAATAATTTCAGTTCCTACTCTGTTTAAGTAATTTTTACTACCATTGTTACCATACTAGAGTGTCTAGACTCATGCGATTTCTGGGATTTTTCATTGTTTAAACAATGAAAAATCCCTGAAATTGCATGAGTCTGGACACTCTATACCATACCGTACTACCTTTAGCACCCCTTTATTTAATACCTCCAAATAATACCCAGATATAAGAATATAAAATCCAGATATTAAGATTTAACAGATTTAATTAAAAATTATTGAAGCATAATACCACCATGTCACAGCTTGTGTACCCACTTTTGGTTCTATGTATTATCTTTTTTTTTTGAGAAGACCCAGGTACGCAAGACAGTGCGGTACAATAAATACTTATGTTGAAATATTATATAGCAATAAATAGTCTAGCAAGTTAAATTCAGTTTTTGCTAAAAGTTGTAAATTGTTAATTATGAAATTTCATATACAATAAATAGGTTTCTCAGAATGAAGTGCCTAATGTAGAAAAAATACTTGCAGAACAATCCTGAATTTTATTCCTTCAGACTCGAATTCTAACAAAAAGAACTTGCGCCTCATTAATTAATCGTATTATTCCCAATATGGCTAGAACACACTCTAATTGGAATGAAATTTCTAATAAATTGCGACAAGCATTTGAAAATTTCTGCACCACATTTAATAATGATATAGCCAAATTGGCCAATCAGTTGATTCGCAAAAAAAGGTTTTAGTTTTTTATACTTGACTCAATATACTTAATAAATATTAGTAATAATATTATATTAAATTAAATTATAGTAATTTTTTGGATCATGATATTGAAAGGTTCATTACTAGATCTGTATGGGAAAAGCCTCTTAAAAAATATATCGATATACTCGATTATGATACTTTTAAAAATCGTCAACCGGAAGTAAATTCGTTAGAAACTTTCATCGCTAGAAGCCTCAAAATACATGCAGAATTCTTGAAAGCAGAGTCGAATGGAGAAAACACTGACTATAATTCTATGGTTTTAAGCTGTATTAAGGAATTAGATTATATTACTATTAATTTCAAGTTTCTAGCTGCAAGTCATCTTCAATATGCTAATCAACTGAAACTTAAAGAAGAGCGGGAAAAATTAAAAAATAAAAATTATTAATGAGTATAAAGCTAGTTATAAAAAAAAATATACTGCACATATAAATTTTCATTTATATATAACGATAGCATAGCGATAACATAGTTGGTTGTATACTATATAGTGCATATGATTATATGAAATAAATACAAATTTTATCTAGGCTGATAAATTTGGTTCAAAATGTAGACTATGAATATTTATGATATTTTTTTGTAATTGTATATTTTCTAGCGAAGGTGCAAAAATGAAGCATATAGTTACTTCACACCAAAAAATTCGCATAATGATAAGAGCAAATAGTTTTCTCCAGAGAGATATGAATATGACTTAGTAAGTATAAAAGTTTTTTTACTTAAATCTGTTTGTGAGCTTGTTACTAACAATGTTGGGTTATTTAGGAGCTTTTGATAGATTCTTCGAGGCTATGAAAGATACGTCTGTTCTTTATTAAAATTTTATCTATCTTTTACATTAACACATTTTTTAATGCCTTACTGCTTCACTCTTTACTTTAGATTTTTTCGCAATTTCATTATCAAAGTAGTTCTTTGTGGTTTATTCGAGTAAGTTTTTCTTTCATTTTGTTAATTTCATCATAACCATGTTATTTATTTTTCCTGTCTTTATTTTTACATGTCTAAAAACTAGTGTTTGTAGCTGATAAAATTTTTATAAGCTTATTCGAGTCGATAATTTTGATTAAACTTAGTCAGCTTAGTCAGCTGTTATCATATGCAGCATAGCAAATAAGCATTTACAGCTAGGGTTTCACATTTATCCACTTATATATACACTTTTTAAAGTTAAAACTCCAAGAGTTAATTTTTATTTAAGTTACGTTTCGAACTCTTTATATACATTTTTTGGTCAACTAAATTCTTTCTGCTCTATCTTATATATAAGGTCGATATACTCTATCTACTCAATATACTATATCTGCCAGAGAATATAGAACATATATAGCAGATACCAATTTTGGGCAAATCAACTTCAAGCCATCTTAGCATCGATTTACCCTTCCACAATGTATGTGTACATACATGAGATACATACAAATGTACAAATTTTTTTAGCACTTATCATTATTAGAATTACTTTTATCCAAAATTGAACTTATTAATTTAATATATGGGTTTTATGCTATCACATATTAATAGTTAACTAAGCTAATATTTTAAAAAATTGACTAGCTTAGTTGACTAATGCTATATCAACTTGAAACACGACTAAAAACTTTTATTTGTTATTCCAATTTGCATCAATTAGATCTTTGGGGTACAATCACTGATCAAATTACTACATTGTAGAAGTAAGAACCGCTCTGAGGTCAGAAAATAGTAGAATATAGGTTCTAACTAACTACTAACAGTGTTAAACTACTACAAAACACTACACTGAACCTTAACTGTGGTGGACACGAAAGAGATGTGAAAATTTTAGTCTGTTATTAGGTCAAATAGAGCTTTAGATTATGTCACGAATAGTGATATGCCATTTATATAATACAAGAATTTTTTTCGCATACAGTACATACATACAGTACGTATAGTCGTATAGTACTGTACGCGGCACATCACTAGTCACGAAGCTCTAATTAAAGATTACAGAATTGATCACTGCTACTTATGTGAATTTACTTATTATGAGACCAGTAGAGCGAAGCATACAAATATTTTTATATATACTACCAAGCTACTTTATATGTCAAAATATTGTACTAATATATTATTAATACTATTACAATAATATTTCTATATTATTACTTTAAAAAGGCTTAAAAGTTTTGTCTTTAAATGTTATATATATTGCAAATAAATTGATAAAATTATTACAATACTATTGCAATATTATTGCTTTAAAAAAGTTTAGAGATTTTGTCTTTAAATGTTATAAATATTGCTAATAAGTTGATAAAGTTACTACAATAATATTGCAATATTATTATTTTATAAAAAGGTTAAATTTTGGTATATTTTATATTTAAATTATTACTAAAATATTAAAAATTTAGAATCAAATATCTGAATTATTGCTTTAAAAAGTTATAATGTACTAAATTATTGTTTTAAAAAGTTATAATGTACAAAATTATGCTTATTATTGACAAATAATTGCATATCTCGAAATTATTAAATTTTAGCAAAGTATTTTATATAGTTAATTTACTGCTTACTTAACACAACTATATATATTATTATATTTATATACTTTAATTGAAACTCTTTTTTATACACATTTTGATTACAACAACTTTAAAAAAAGTTACACAATGAATATATTTTTTTTATTAAACAACTTATATCTTTTAATAATTTTACATTTTTGGATTAAACATACATTTTTATTTAAATTCAATCAAATTTCTATTAGATATAAACTTAAATAGTTTATTATTCTAAAAAACAAAATTATTACAAACAGTTATATCAGAACAATAAACTTAATTTTAAATCTTTCAACTTATAATTTTTTATTGTTTATAATAGGTTATTATAACTCTAAGTTCAACTATAATAAATTATTTTTAATTATAATTATCAAGAAATAATTATAAAAAAAATATACAAATTTAAAGCTAAAAAAATATTATTTCAATTACATATTGGTTAATTAAATATAATTTTTTCTATATTTTTTTATTTTTTATTTTTTTAAGATAAAGTCTTACTTATATTTTTATTAAATAATTTATAAAATAGTAATATATATGCAGTATATATATTTTTATTATTTGTATTAGTACAAATAAAAAGAAAAATTACATGTAAAAATAAAAGCTCATACAATTAAATAAATCTAATTTATCTGTAATCTAAATCTACTTGAATGGTTAAAAACTTATCTAGATAATATCATTTATAGTTAAAATAAAGTTAGAAGTTGTATAATATTTAACTTACAGAGTGATCCAAATACTAATTTTTCTAAAAGTCTGTTTAACAAATAGACATGTTTCAATATATGAATGGAGTTGGTTAATTTGATCACAAAAACAAGTATATATATTATTTCTACTATAGAAGGATGAAGTTTGTTGATTAGTATATATATATATTATTTGTTATTATTTTTTTCAATTTGAAAAATTAATACAATAGGGTTTTCATAATTGTTTATAGATTTGTTTATTAATTTCAAGTAGAATATTAATCATAATTGTTGATATTAGTTTGTATAAAACTTCTAGATCCTAAATAGTTTTAATTAGAAATAAAAAAATAAGATCTTTAAAAGTAATTTTTAGGTAATATATAAATGAATAAAGAAGTATTTCTTTGAAAGCTGAATGGTCTTTAATTTTTTGAATAAGTTCTTTAGTTTTATTGCTAGAGAAGTCTAAATTGGCTGAGTTTATATAATTAGTTATTACATTAGGAATGATGCTATCAAGCAAAAAAAATTTAACACAACTGCATTAATGTAATAATAATATAATTGAATTGCAATAAAAGCAATTGGCATCATAAAAGGTTAAAAGATAGATTTTATGATAGAGATATTGAGTAAGTAGTTCATTAAAAAGTATTTTAATTTTAAATAATTTGAATTAGTTAAGTTTAAAATTAATAAAGTTGTAAGTAGATTTTAATTATAGTTAAAATATAGTTAAGTTAAATTTTAGTCAATATGATGAACTAATAAAGTTTATTTATTATTTTGTTTTTGTAATGACTATAGTACAAGGTTGTAAGCTTTATAGATATTTTTAACAAAGTATCTAATAGGAAGTTTAACAGAAAATTTTTTTGTGTTAAAGAATAATAAATAATATGAATTGTAAATATTTGTATAGTTAAAATGTAATAAAAGCTCATTTGTATATTGCTTAGCAAGTAAATCTGCTAGATTGTTAAAAGTATTATTTGAGTGAACTAGAACTTTATAAAAAATAATATTTAATTTATATGATTTAATAATATTTAGTAAGATATGCTATAATAGCCAAGAGTTAAATTTAAAGAGTTTATTAAGATTTAGAGATAATTAATTAAGTTAAATAAATTTTAATATTATAAATTAGAAATCTGTATAAATATTAATTGTAAAATTTCAAGAACTAGTTAAAATAGTAGACAGAATAAAAAAGAGTTCAGCCTTGTAAAAGGATACCTAGAGATAAACTTTGGCAGCAAATTTGTAGATAATTTGGTTATTAAAATTTATTTGAATCTAGCTGATACTTATAGTACAATTATTTGTACTTATACCAATTACTGAACCATTAGTATAGAAGTTAAACAAGTTATGTAATAGGTTATTAGAAGATATTTAATTAAGTTTGTTAGTTTCTTATTTGTTTCAAAAATTATAGATAAGATGGAGTTAGAGATAAGAATAAAAAGCAATAATAGTAATAAAGAATTTGAAAAAGATTATTTAATTATAACAGAACTAAGAAGGTCTAGATAGTTTGCATTTATTTTAACTAAGTTTAAAATAATTCTATCAAAAAATTAAACAGATATAATAGATAAAGTATTAATAATACATGATATAATTATTTATTGTGAGTTAAATTAACAGCCTAGACGAGAAACAAGATTAATCTGTTGAAGTGTGTAGTAATTAGTACTGTTTATATTAATATCTGTTTGCCAGTATGTGATTGATATTTGGTTAGAATCTGTAAGATGTTTATAGATTTTGTCTATAATAATTTTCTTATTATTAAAAGTAATTAGTCATAGTTTATATTTTTAAGGAATATTGTATATGTTATATATAAAGAAGTTAGTTTTTTACTGTTAATATTAAAGTTTGAGAGAATGATGATAATGATTTTTTATAATAAAATTTTCAAGTTCAGTAAACCAGATCAGTTTTTTGCCTTTAGACAAATGAAGAATTCTTGATAATAAATATAGCTATTCAAAAAGTGTAGTATTGTCTGAAATGCAAAGTTATTCAAAATAAAGTAGGTTTAGTCATTTAAGTTGTTTTTTAAAGGTTGTATATTTGAAATAGTATTAAAGAATAAGTTCAAAAGGTTAAAGCTGATAATAAATAGTGTTTGGCTA